GGTAGCTGGGCCTTAAGTCATTTTTCTCTACCACCGTTCAACCGATAACTGGGCATTAAGTCATTTTTCGCTACCACGGTTCAACCGGTAACTGGGCATTAATTCATTTTTCTCTACCACCGTTCAACCGGTAACTTAACATTAAGTCATTTTTCTCTACCACCGTTCAACCGGTAACTAGGCATTAAGTCATTTTTCGCTACCACCGTTCAACCGGTAACTGGGCATTAAGTCATTTTTCTCTACCACCGTTCAACCGGTAACAGGGCATTAATTCATTTTTCTCTACCACCGTTCAACCGGTGACTGGACATTAAGTCATTTTTCTCTACCACCGTTCAACCGGTAACTTAGCATTAAGTAATTTTTCTCTACCACCGTTCAACCGGTAACTGAGCATTAGCTTATTTTTCTCTACCACCGTTCAACCGGTAACTAGGCATTAAGTCATTTTCTCTACCACCGTTTAACCGGTAACTAGGCATTAAGTCATTTTTTCTCTACCACCGTTCAACCGGTGACTGGACATTAAGTCATTTTTCTCTCCGTTCAACCGGTAACCGTTCAACCGGTAACTGGGCATTAAGTCATTTTTCTCCCCACCGTTCAACCGGTAACTGGGCATTAAGTCATTTTTCTCTACCACCGTTCAACCGGTAACTGGGCATTAAGTCATTTTTCTCTACCACCGTTCAACCGGTAACTGGGCATTAAGTCATTTTTCTCTACCACCGTTCAACCGGTAACTGAGCATTAAGTCATTTTTCTCTACCACCGGTAAAGCGGTGGTCAGGCCTCAAAGGGTTAATAGTGTCATCTGACTTCTTTTTATGTACCGTGTCCTTTCAGGACGTAGGCGATCATAGCTCTCCACTTCCCCGTATCCCTTGTGGCTCTCAACAGGTTTTACGTTTCTGCCAACTCCCCCAGACCACGCTCCGCCTTCCACCTGCCGAAGCCCGCCACGTAAATCATACGCTGCTTTCACTTGTCTCTTCTTCCCTCTATTCGACCCGTGAGTATCAGATTCTCCAAGCCCTCCTTTCTCATCAGGTGTCCCAAAAATTTCAGCTGCCTCTTCCTTAGGTTAAGCATAAGCTTCCTCCTTGTTTGCATCCCCTCCAAGACTTCATCGTTGCTCACACGCTCGGTCCATGTTACCCTCAGCATCCTTCTGTGGGGCTACATCTCCGCTGCCTCGAGTCTCTTCTTCATCTTTCAGGAAATCGTCCGACATTCGCTGCCGTAAAGAAGGACAGATGTCACGTAACAGCTCAGTATTCTCTCAAAGTTATTACCACACGCATACACACACACACACACACGCACACACATACACACACAAAAACGCACGTACACACAGGAATGATGATTATATTTTTGAAGGTAATTTTCTCTCGCATTCTCATCCAATTTGGGACATGCACACACATGCGCGCCCATACACAGAAACACACACACACACACACACACACACACACACACACACACACACACACACACGCACACACACACAGGGGAATGATAATGATATTATCCAAGATAAATTTCTCTCAGATTCTCATCCAACCACACACACACACACACACACAAACACAAACACACACACACACATATATATATATATAGATATATATATATATATATGTGTGTGTGAGTGTGTGGCTAATTTTCTCTCAGATTCTTCACCTTCACACACACACACACACACACACACACACACTTTTCAGTACTAATACGGAAATACACACATACATATATATAGGACTGAGGATATTTAAAAAGTTAATATTCTGTCGATATTCTCATCCCACTTCACACACACACACACACATATATATATATATATATATATATATATATATATATATATATATATATATAAGAATATAATTGGTGTATACGGAATGAATTCCAATAACCAAATGTGAATATTCTTAAAAGAGTGCTCAATACAATGTAGAGCAGATATAATTATTTATTTTTTTTTAAAATTATAGTAGAAATATGTTATAAAATCCTGGTGTCTTATCAAGTGTTGATGTTGAATGTATTCAACATCATCACATGTTATAATTTTTTTTTAAATAAATATATATATATATATATATATATATATATATATATATATATATATATATATATATATATATATATATATATAAAAAGAAATAATCACGCATAGAATCACTTAGCAATATTAATGCTATTATTGGCAATATCACATGGCTAGTAGAATATAATGTATGCATTAAAATACTGTTAATCCATAGAATGATATCGCCAATAATAGCATTAATATTGCTGATTGATTCTATGCGTGATTATTTTTTGTATATAAATATATGCTGCCTAATGTTTTATGTTTATATTTATATATATATATATATATATATATATATTATATATATATATGTATGTATGTATGTATGTATACATATATTGGTACAGATTCATCCTCAGAAGGAGTCAGTTACTTACTCGAGCGGTAGAATTCGCT